GGCCGCCTTGGTGATGTCGGGCCGGGGGCCGTGACTCCCCCGCCTTCACATGCCGCCGCCGCTGCGTCTGCTTGGTCTTGTCACCCATCGCAACAGGCGCAAACTGTGTCGCAGGGGGCAGGGGCACCACGTTTGTGGACCGTGGGGCGCGCGGCCCATGCGTCAAATCTGATCGCTGCATTCTTATTGGTCCACGCATGAATTTGATGTTGTTATGTATTGTGGAGCGGCTTCTAGAACGGGTTCCAGGACGGCCTGGGACGGCCTTCAGAACGGCCTGGAACGGCCTTCGGAACGGCCTGGAACGGCCTTTGGAACGGCCTGGAACGGCCTTTGGAACGGCCTGGAACGGACTCTAGACCGGCCTTGGGCAGTACATGAACGGACTCCTAGGTGGGCCATACCGTCCCAGATCCGTCCCAGTCCGTTCCCAGCCAGGGACGGAGCCGTCCCTGGCCGTTCTTGGGCCTGCCGGCCCAAGGACGGGGACGGACTCCGGTCCGTCCCCGTTCCCGTCCCCGTCCCCGTTCCTAGTCCGTCCCCGTTCCTGGACGGCCCACCTCTGGTGTGAGGCTGAAAAGAGTAAAGAAGTGGTCCCTTACTATCTGTTGCCCCTCTAGAGTAGGGGAACCGCTGTAGAAAATTTCAGATGAAGTAGCCTCACCAAGAAGATATGTGAATATATATAGATTAGAAGGTACACAAATAATTCACCGGACTGGGCAGGGCGTGGTCAGTGGCCCTTGCTGACTAGTGTTGCTGTGCTGAGTCACCGGGGATGCAATTGCATTACCCTATAATGAATATAATGGATGGGCGTTCGCAACATTCCTTAATCTAGATATTATACATAGGTGGTAGTTTAGGGTTGGTCCCACTTGGCGGCCCCTTATGGCCACTAGGTTGCCGGCGAGGTGGATCCGGGGTTAAAGAGGGTAGGAGCCCCTACCCCAAAGTTGTTATCAGCATGACTTTGAGAACCCCGATGGTGCACACGTGGAACAACAACGCTGACGTCACCAATTGGAATCCGTCGCCCTGTGCAACACCCAACCCCTATTTGGGATTGCGCCTTCCCGAAGCCCCAAACGGCAGCTTGCCTGCTTCGCACTGCCATTTTGTGCGGGAGGAAGGCAAAGCGCCACGGGCGGACACTGGGGCGGCCCTTGTGATGCAATCACCCTCTTGGGAGATGCTCTGGGAACTGTTGCTGCGGCGTTGAGGATGTCATGCGCCTCTCGATGGTGAGCCACTCGGTATGATCTGGCAATTTGTGCTGTTGCGCGCGGAGAGTCTCCAACATTGTCGCACATCGTAGCGCGAGGAGTGAGCGCATTCACGCGCCTTAGCTTCCTCACGGAGACCTGTCGGGGTGCGCACGTCGCTTGATTGATCGCTTGTCCCCCGCCTGGGGTCGGACTTCAACGAGGGGCTGCTCCCCCACAATCCTGTGCGTTGCGGATCCACTGACAGACGCAGCCAGTTCCACCCCTGCGCGTACGGTGCTGCACTAACCGAGCGTGCTGCTGCTGCCGAGCGCCTTGATACGCTGCTGTCATAGGTCCGTCTGGTGCACTGCTGGAAGGGAATTTGGAAGAACCCATTCGGATATTGGCAGCGGAAAAGATTCAAGATGGGAGTGCAATCAACCACAACAGGTGGCTAAGTGAGTAGTGCTGTGTGGCGTTGCGCTGTTGAGGATTGTGTTGGCAACTTCCTGTTTGGTGTTGCTGCACCCGACGAATGGAAAATGTGGATTCGAGGTCACATTCTTTGATCAATTGCTGCATGCTTGTCTGATGTTGTGCTTCAATGAAGTGCCTGTATCCATTTTGTGCGGTTGCAGCATGGAAAATGATTGTGGGCTTCTCCATTTCCTGATTTGGGACCCGACAGTTGTTGATGTTTATTTCCACATCCTGGCAATGAACAGTTGTTCCGTGTGGTACTGCAAGTCCATAGCCCTGCAGACGCAGCGGGCGTTGTACAGTTGAAGCATGGCGGAGCACACAAGGAGAAAGCTGAAAACAGCACTGAGCCGGGATGAGGAACTGGTGAGCACTCTGGTGTTTCCGATGGCTGCCTTTGGAGGCTTGCCATGAAGCAACTGTCAAACAGCCATCATGATGTGGATGTTGTGAATTCGTCGTGTACTTGCTGCTTGAGGGTCTATGAAATGTGCCTCTTGCATGCACGCCACATTTCATGGTGAGCTGGATTCAATACTTTTTTACCTGTTGACATCAATTCTTTGTAATACTCCAGGATTCACGCCGCATTGCACTGAGGTCCCTGCAGCAGGACATGTTGTCTGAAGACAGGTGAGGCTGGAAAAGGCATTGCAGGTTGTTGAACGTGGTGGTGCAACTACTGGTTTGGTTCTTATTGTCCTGAGAACTTTACTTTTGCAACTTTTGCAGGTCCATCGATGCACTTCATGTGTTGGTCGGTGCATGGAACCAGATTGTTCCCCTTTTGTGGGACAGGTAAGACAAAGTGTTGTGAAGGTTTGCAGTAACCACCACTACGCATCTGTTTGATTGGCTGTCACTGTTGGTGGGTTTCGCACTTTGCACGTTGCCTTTGCAGTCGCCTTGCAGGAAAAGTGACTTCAGAGAGGTGTGGTGCAGCATCAACGTCCAGCAAGCAACTGCCCGCGAAATCCATTGTATCCATTTGTGCCTGCCCAAGGAGGAAGATGAAAGCAATAGGCCTTCCCCGCAGAGCAAATGTGCAGTGTGGCTACACCTGCTGATAGTGGCAGATCTGTGGAATGTTTGAGCTGACACCACATACTGTGTGCTACCAGGACTCTCCGCAGGACTGTGGCTCCGCTGATAGGTGCCATAGGTGGTGCTGTGGCAAATGCAGCGAATGAGGCACCTAACAGTCAGCTGACAGGCAGCATATTATTCGATTGGGCTTTGCCAATTTTGGAAAATCAAAGAGTACGTCATCATGGGGTTGAAGAGGCTGTGTCGCCAGAGTCGCTTGTGTTTGTGCTGGAAGCCATCAAAGAGGGCATGTCTCAATTAGAGGGACAAAGTGTGGAGGCCCATTCAGGCCGTGTCTTGGCTGTTTGTCACAAACTGCTTGAGAGTGACACCACACCCCTAGGGCTATTTGGGCACATATTGCTGGTGATCAGCTATTCTGTGGGCAGCAAGATGGCACTTGAGGACGGAATGCATGACTTGGTGGACTTGATCATGGGATGGGCTCTGGAGTCAGGAACACCTGACAGTGTAAGGTGAGCACAGGTCAGGGCCTTTCTTGTTTACCCACCTTTTGCATGTGCATCAGCCTCCCTTGCCAAGCACAGTGCATGGTTGCACCTGTTGGGTCATGGAATGTGTCGAGGAGGGGGACAGAGAGTCCACCCTACTCCAAGTTCTTGATCTCGTTAAATGTTCACTGTCACCCTGATCTTGTCATTGCCTGGCTCAGCTGAGGGTGTACGTGCTTCTTGCTGCAGGCCATCGGTTGCCAAGGTGCTCAAGGCGTTTGGCAGTGCATGGCAGTGGGAGGTTGACTATGCCCTGGAGCTGGTTGCACAAATGACCAAAGAGATGGGAAGGGTTCCTGGGGAAACCTCGGCGGCTGTGGGAGTCAATGATTGGCGGCATTTTGTGTCCCTTTCTAACTGTGTCACAGCTCTTCTTGATGCCTGCTATCAGCACATTCCTCCTATGGGCCTGCTTGAAATTCCGAAGCTCATTTGTGCCCTGCAGTCAGGCCTTAGAACATTCTGTGATCTAGATTGTGGGGCAGGGTGTATAGAAAACTTTGTACCAGAGGTTTGCCAGCATATGCAGCGATTGCTCACTGTTCTCAGTGCACGGTGTCCAGCCATCTCCAGAGTTCATGCTCCTTCCAATAGCGAACTTGCCAACAGTCTAGGTCAACTGCAGACAACCTTTCCAGAAGCAGGAAAACCTTCCTCTTCAGATTCGATTGCAGCTGGCAAAGCCTCTTTGCACAGGCAAGATAGCCAAGATATGCATGATGGGAAAACTGGATGGCCATTGTGGGCTGCCAAGGTGTGTCAGGGGGCCATGGTGGCTGCCAGCACAGTCCTCAGGCTCTCCAGTCACAAAGTCACGAGCGCAATTGCAGCACTTGAGCTCCACTGCAGTGCTCTCCATTGCGTCACTACCTGTGGAGTTCCAGGTGCATTGGAGGAGGACATCTACCAGCACTATGGTGGGGGCAGCCTCTGCTTCAGCCACAGGTGCGCTCTCTATGTGGGGCTCACAAGGCCAAAGCTGTGGTGTGGCATGCCATAATCAAGTGTCTATGTCCATCATTAGATATGGCAACAATGTGGACTGTGCTGGTGATTGATTTGTCGAGTCGCCTCCACATCTTCTCCAAAGCACTGGAGTTTTCTCTGGGATGGTGTATGCATGCAACATACAACGACTTGACCAATGCGCTTCACTTATGAGGTGCTGAAAGCCACGCTTCTCTTCAGATGGGCGGCACGTGGCACTTGAGCATCCATGTGCAAGGAAAGAATTTTGAAACCTAAGGGCCACTGCTGACATGTGTGTGGCTGCTCTGTGTTGACTGTATATATGATTTATTCTGTTCTGCTGCAGGTTTGCATCATCAACGCACAGCTTGAAGATGCTGTCTTCACTATACAAGCAGTTGCTGTTGTGGCCATGTGACAATGTTCGCTCTCATTTCGTCTCGCTGCTTGTCAGTGAGTTGAAAATGGAAAAAGATACCCCAAAGTTGAACAAACTTGATTGCAGCACAGATGGGACCCAACAAATCAGTCTGAAAACAGAGACACTACCACATCCTGCTGAGACTGAAAGAATAGGTGATGTCAGAACACCTGCAGAAGTCAGTGGGATTCCTGGATTGGTAGCTAATGTTTCTGGATATGAAGTGGAATCGTTCCAGCCATCTGCTCAGGAATGGGTCCCAGGGGACCCCAGCCCTGTTCAAAATGGGCACCAAGCAGAGAATATGGGTGGGAGCCTGGAGCATGAGCCACAGATGAAGCGTTTGTCTTTGAAGAGACAGTTGCGCAAGATTCTCTTTAGCCTGGGCCTCCTGGGCTGGTGTGCATCACAACAGATCTTGAATTCAGAGCAATCTCAAGTTCTGTGGGACATGACAGCGACTGTCATCTGTCAAAACAAGCTGTGGCTGGACGATGAGAGGCTCAGACGGGGTTCTGTTATTGTTCTGCGTACAATTTCCTCCAGCAGACCAGTGGCACGTGATAATCGTGGGGATCAACATGCCGTTCCGTATCGATCGGTCTCCGATGAACTCACATGGATAAGCTGGGCTATGGTTAAATGCAGAGGAATACAGGACTATGGGGCAGTGATATGTTTGTCAAAATGGGCAATCGACCTTGTTTCACCCTTTCGAGGTCAGTTTCTTGCCATCCCTCAAGAACTGCTGGACGTGGTGCTGAACATGATGGATAATGTTGACTGCACAGTGCGAAATGCTGTGTCGGGCGTCCTATGTGCTTTGTTTGAGGTACGAGCCAAGGTGAACGTGCATCATTTGGCTGCTGCTGCAAGGGCGCTCTGTCAACGGTCGTCGGACATTGCAGGTCCTGATGCTCAGTTGGTTGTGGCATATGTGCATGCACTCGCTCCCTACTGCTTTGCTTTCTCCAAGGTACGGGCTTTGGTTGATGTCAACGGGATTCCAGTGAACATCCACCTGGCCTTGCAGCCACGATCGCGCACTTTTCGGACATCCCAGCTTGGCAGAGTGCTGGATCAACTATCTCAGGGTGTTCTTGGCGATGCATCACCAGGAGGTCACATGGGTTCCACCATGGTGCAATTGCTTCAGAAGCCAACTGACTTGTCCAGCATCGATGCTGGGCCGAAGATGGCAGACTGGGTGCCCAGGCTGGTTCACAGCTTGTCTGCCTTCAGCAGTGATCCCCAGTCTGATGTACAGGGGGATGATGGGAACATGTGCATTGTCCAAGAGCCCTTTCCTCTGGAACGATTGACAACTGTGAACCATATGTTCTGGTTCTTGGTGCATGAAGCGCTCAGACAGTGCATAGGAACCCGTCTTCGGACCCATCTGGGAGGTGCAATGAAGTTGTTCTCCTGGTTGGAGAGAACACTATTGGCTGTTAAGGAAAGGCAGCAGGAGCACAGAATGATGGACGCCCAGTGCATCTGGATGCTGGTTGAGTACATTGTTGCACTTGAGAAGGCTGTGTACTGTGGGTATGAGGGGTCAGCTGTGTTGATGGAACCGCCAAAAAGCTGCTGGGCATTCTTCTGTGGGAACAAAAAGGTATCAACAGTACCTTAAACAGGGTATCCTCATGTGCTCATATGGAAAGATATGTTTGAGTCTCCTTTGCCTGTCCAATTGACGATTCATTGGGGACTGGCAAATGAGCATTTTACTTGCATCCCAAATATATCACCTGGTCCACCAGGCCAAACAAATATCGCGATGCATTGAGTTGGATAACGACGTTCGTGCCAAGAATCATTCCTGGGCTTGAAAGCCATCAATTGAATTGTTGAAATATCTGTCCTATAAAATGCTTCACCCACCCAACTGCAGTCCAGCCTAGTCTAACCCCATGCACAAAGACAGACAACTGCAAATATTGCGGTGTGTGAAACCAGGTGGTGTTTCTAGGTCTGCAGCATGTAAGCTGGCACTGCATTAGTTGTCTGTATTTTTGCATGGGAGAAATGCAGCTGGCTGAGATATCTATTCATGAAGTTATGGTGTCAATGCAATGCACAAAAAAGCACAACGGGCTCCGGTGTTTGTGCGCATGGTGGCGCTTCCATAATTTGCTCGCTTGTGTGTTATGCAACTGTGCTGTGGAATCTTGACGTGAATTAAGTTTGTGATGGTAGCAATAGTATGGCGCTGTAGCCTGTTGCACACAATGTCAAAGTTGCCAAATCTTGCTCTTCATGAAGTACACGATCAGCATGTCCTTGCATGTGGGTGTGGTCAGACATGCGAAGAGTGCTTCAACCGGCTTCGTCCTTTGGTCATGAACACAAGCCAGGCAGCTGGTCACCACCAAGGGGCAGTGCATGCTGCCATGGAGCAGTTGCAAGTGCTTGAAAAACAGCTTCCCGGCCTTCCACAGCTGGACTCCATGTGCTTGGAGGTTGGAAATGGAAAGGAAGTTGGCAGTGGCAGGACAATGGCCAACGAGGATGTTCTCCAGGTGATCCGGAGCACTGGTCATTCGATGTGTGACAAGTGATACTGCATACATACCATGGAAATGGGCTGGGAGCGTCACATGGGGATTGTGGTGCTGTACTACTTTGTGGTGGTTCAATTTAGCTCATCAACGTCGCTCTTCACAGCACCTTACCTGGCAGATGGGTACCAATGTTGGCTCTCTTGTCCAGAGATCATTTTGTTGGCTTCTGGCACGCATGTTCTCGAAAGCAAAAGATGAGACAATGATCACAATGTTTCCTTCCTCTTGTGTGGATGCAAGAAGGGGAATTAACATGAATGTGGACTTGGTTTTCATCGTACATTCTGTCCCAGAAGACAGTGGTGCTAAATGACATGTTTGTTCAACTGTCAATTACTCACTTGTGCGAGTCTGCATTTCCAGGTGATACAAGGTAGAGAGCAAGAGGAGGAACGCCAGCAAGTGCCAGAAAAGCAGAGGCTTCAGGATCGTCTCCCAGTGGCTTGGGAACAATTTCTTGAGAAAGTAAGCACTGCTGTGCAGGTTTGCTGCCTGGGATTGTGCAGGTTAAAGGAGGGGGATGCCATTCTTGGAATCTTCTCTTACCTACGGAAGACATTTGGCCCAACTAAGGTTCCAAGTGGTGATGCCACAGAGGATGCTTGCAGCTATCCTTTTGGTTGGGTTCAGGGCGTCGCCTGTCAAGCAGCAGGGTGTTACGAACGAGCTCATGGATTCTACGCCGAGTTCCTAATGTATGGCACAGAGCAGATGCCCAAGGCCTCAGCACTGAGCACAGGCACAGCCATCGGAACAGCAGGGCAGTTCCTGGCACAGAGTTTTCGTCCATTTGTGGTCGAGCGCATAGGAGAGTGTTATTGTCAGCTTTCTGATTGGCATGGCTTCAGAAGCTTTGCAGAAATTGTAAGGGCCGGGCAGATGGTAGATGAAGGCAAGCGCACTGCAACACTGAATCGGCTACTGGACCGTGGGGAGCTGCTGGCAGTGTGTGATGGGGACAATCTTGCTGAGGCTGTAGCAAAACTGTGCTCATGGACTACAAATATAGAAGACCCATCCCTGGGCTGTTCTGGACCCAACCAGGTTTGTGTCCAAGTCAAAATGGGCTACAATATGCCATGTGTATTTAGGAATTTACTCTTTTCAAAAGTCAGGGGGCCTCATGGTCTGAAGGCAGTTCTCATGTCCTAATTTCTTCTGACATTGCAGCACTGTGATCAGCCTACCGGAATTTCATCCCTGAATGAATGAAAGACTGTGGCAAGTGCATATGATCCATGCACCAATTTGTTGGCTTGAGCTGTTGGAGTGCCCTCTGTTCTGCTCTTGCACGGTGCCCAGGGGTGCCAATGCACCTCTGGGATTGGGTTGTAGTTCATGGCTGCAGCTCTGATGTCACCAATGATAAGTAAGTCATGCACTTGCGGCAAGAATATTGTGCTCTTAATGCTATGCACTTGCCAGACCTGTATTGATGCAGCTGTTTGAGAATATTGAGTTCCAAAGCATAACAGGGAGTGACACCACAAGAAGGGTGCATTTGCTATTTTCTTGAAATGGTTCTGGCTGCGTGCTGCCACATAATGTGCCCATGACTGTGTTTGGTGTGTTGCTGAATATTGGTTGAGCCACAGACTTGTGCAACTGGTTTCTTTTGTCTGTTATAGGTCATGGAAGATGTGGAGGACCACATTCTGAAGGCGCTGGCTGCTTTGAAGTGTTGTATTCACAATCAACAAGTCCCTGGTGGTCTGATATCAGAGAGCACAGCTAAGATATGTTCCCGGCTACAAATGCCTGTCCAGCTTTACGCCGAAGACAGCCCAGAATTGCTCACTCCTCACCTGCTGAACCTGCACTGCCTCAGAAGCCTGCACTTGGCTTTAAAAAAATATCCAGAAGTAGCCAGTCGCTGGGGTGATTCAAAGCTGGCTGCAGATGGTATTTTGGGACCCTCAGCAGATCGAAAGATGGACGACGTGGCACTGTTGCCTCTTCAGCTGCTGTGCAGCGGTGGCAGGGATGCTGATCACCAAAGAGAGCTCTTCAAGCTGCTGCTTCCTGAGATATGTCACAGGCCATTGTGTGCCGATCTGCAGCTTCTTGATCCTGCATGGATGTTGAAATTGTCAAGGGTACTAGAAGGTTCTTCTACTCAAACCTCTGAGGATGCCACTTTCCTGCTTACATTGGTTGCGGCACATGTTGCAAGGAACACAGACAACCCAAGGCTTTCCTCAAGACTGCTGAACACGTTGCCATCTTCCAATGGCGGCTGGCAGGATTTGCTTGTCTGCCTGCAACATTCAGAAGGTGTGCACAGGACTGGAGGAAGCAGTGCACGTTCTGCAGCACTAACTATGTGCTGGGAAGCTGTGGCATCGTTCCTGCAAAGCACTGGTGTCAAAGGTGCGAAACTGACCACAATTACCCCAGGGAAAATCATTGTCAATATTGTTAGCCTGGGCTGCACTGTTTTGCAGTGCTGACTGACACACCGGCTTCCCACCCACAGCCCTCTGTTTGTGTGTTCAGGCTGGACTGCACAGGTCGCTGCTGCTGCCTGCCTGAGGCTGTCCAGTTGGCTATCTGGCGTGGACAACAGGGACGCAACCTTAGGGGACTCTCTTGCAGCTGCATCAGTGGACTGGGGTTTGTTAGTGTCGAAACTGGGCAACCAGTGGAGAAGACTCATGGATAGTGCAGGAGGTGAACAGCTGTCCAGTGGATCTATTGGCACTCAAGTCACAAGAGTACATTGTGCCTGCGTGGCTGGAGCCCTCACATTGGCGCCAAGCATGGCGCGAGCTTTCAGAGAGTATGGAAATCTGCTGTACAGCTTGACACAGGTGCGCAGGGGCAACAGTCTATATTAACGTGGAGTTGTAAGATATTCATCAATAAGCCGCATCATACTTGCTGGTTTGTGTACTAGCCATGCATCATTGGCTGCCACCCTGTCAATGTTTTGCCTATTGAGCACCAATATCAGTGTGTTTGTGTTTACTTTCGAGCACTTCAAGGCAGTTGCCTGCCTGCATGTTGATTGTCTTGTTAGGGCAACAGAGAGAGGTAGGGCACAGTGCCACCATGGTTTCGTGCAAAATGCAATTGTTGTTTTGATTTCCCTGGACAGCAGACTGTATTTACCAGCATGAGCTGGACACATTACAGTGCATTGTCAGCTCCTTCATAGAGCACACTGGCCTGTATGTATGTATAATTTATTATGATGCTTGTCAGTATTCATGGATCAAAATGCCTGTTTCACTTTTGCTGTTCAGGCAGGTTAAGACGACTTTCAACGTTTCCTCACCCTCTGCAATGGGTTGTTGTTTCTTTGCTTTTGTTTCTGCTTGAAGCTATGGATGGCCGCGATTAGGATTGTCCCTGTTTGGGAATTGTATCTGAAAAGTGTTTGTTGCATTGAGACGAAACCCATGCTCAAGAAATGCACGTCATGCTTGCAAGCTGTGCTAGCTTTATGTTCTTATCTGTGGCAAGTATCCTTGTTGCTGCTTGTCGCCAGGAGGCAGAGTCCAAAACGAAGCTGTCCACCTTCCCTGAAGAGGCAGCCGGGCATCTGGCTGGCTATGCACATACTTTAGCTGCATACTGCCAGTATCTGCATATGGTGGGGAACAGTGGAAATGGCCATCACACATTTGAGCAGCACTTTCTGATTCTCTTGAGAGTGCTTCACATAGTTGTGTATCAAGGAGTGCATCTTGCTGGCCCCGCCCTCGATGAACCATTGGCACGTGTGCCACCAGCAGTGTGGCAAGTGGTTACACCCCAGCTATTCAGCCATCTTGGGGATCACCAGCATGCTGTCCGTCAGTACCTCCAGCATATCTTGCAGGTGAGTAGGTGGGTGCCAGCGGGGCTTTCTTGGGGATACGCAAGGTCTGTTGTGCATCCATCTGTTCCTTCAGTATCAGGTGAACAGGTATCGCCCCCTACAGGTAACAAGCTTCTGGAGATGTGCCAGCATCGTGTGAAGACATAGTTCTCTTTAGTGTTGAACGTTCATGCCATCAGTCGAATGGCGATAACGCACCAAAATAGGGACGCACGGAAGGTTGTTCTCTGTAAATTGTGTGGCCTGTGATGCTTGTTGCTCCTGGCTCAGTAGCTGATGTGTGGCAATTGCATGTGGGGCTGTAGGGTGTCATTGTATCTGTGCCATCCGCCGTCTTGTATCCTGCAGCCGTGGAGATGAGAAGGGCAGAGCACAAAGGGGAGCATTTGCTGGATGAGCTTCAGGTGTGATGCCCATGTTGTCCTGATTCCTGTCTCCTTCTGGTGTACTGCTGGTTGACAAATCGCCATCCTTGGGTGTACAGGAAGCCACCTATTCTTTTATTCGCAATCAGTGCCAAAGGGGCGCTACAATACCAAGTGCTACTGTTTGTGCTTGTTGTTTTTGCAGGCCCTGATTTCTGAATTACAACAGCACTACCCAGACCTACTGGGCAACCTCATGGTCCTCATGGAGGAGATGGAGCGCATCACTGTCTTGTGGGAAGAGCAATGGTGCGCAACGCTGACAGAGCTCCATCTGGATGTGCAACGCCGGACAGTGGCTCTGCAGGCTGAAGCGCAGAGGCTCAGAGATAACCACAGTCTGGACCAGCAGCACAGGGCTGCGATGCTGCGGCAGCGGTATGTGGCCATGGTGCTGTGCATCTGTCCCCTGTAGCACGTGGTGTGGTTTGACAGTCTGTCAGTTGGTTCTGGGCTGTGGTGGGTTGCCCTTGGATTGTTGCCTTGGATTGGTGGGCCCTATCACAAGTAACACCCATTCAGCTGGTTCTGCTGCAGCTGAGAATGGTTTGTGCGCTATCATGCAGATTCGTCACACTCATGTCACCTGTGATTTTGACTCTGGAGAAGCGGTTACGGTCAACGGTGCTGAACCCAGCAGAGACGCCTGCAGAAGAACATATGCAGGCCATGTACATGAAGCCACTGACAGCTGCCATTGCAGGCATTCGCAACCCAACCCACACACTGGATGTACCATCTGTACAGACACTCTGGGCACCACTCAAGGGTCTGTGGAAGCAACTGGGGCAGCGCTTGAAGTCTTTGAAGATGAGCTTGGGGTTTGTGTCTCCAAGATTGCTGGGTCTTCAGGACACCAGCATCCCTATGCCAGGTATTCTGTCTTGATCGATGGATTGGAATCCATCTGGTGGCACAAGGACTTGCATATAGTTGTGAATTATGCTGTTCTTGGGTTAGTGCATGTGTGGTCTGCGATTGTGGCACTGGAGCCAACGTGAGGAAAGCAAGCAGGGATGGTGGGGCTCTTCCCTTCCAAGTTCATGGTATTGTGTGCTTGTTGATGTTTGCTTTTGAGACAGTGTCTGAAAGGCTTGTTGACGACGACTTGCATATTTCTTTTGTTTTATTTGCATTGACAGTCTGGGTATTTTGCATTGATTCTGACACCCAGGTCACACTGGCAGCGGGGTCACAATTGCAAACTTCAAGCCTGAGGTACTTGTGCTGTCCACAAAGACTCGACCAAAGAAGTTGGCTATGCTGGGCTCAGATGGGGAAGAGTATGTGTACCTGCTGAAGGGACGAGAAGATCTGCATTTAGATGAGAGGTTAATGCAGTTCCTGCGTGTCGCCAACGGTTTGCTGCAAGACCATGCACTTACAAAACCTTCTGGGCTTCGTGCCCGCTGGTATACAGTCACTCCTCTAGCAGGGCGTGTGGGACTAATACAGTGGGTGCCGAACACGGTTTCGATGTATGGACTCTTCAAGGCATGGCAAGAGCGGCAGCTAGAACGGCATCAGGCCATGACAGAAGCCATGAAGCAGGGCAAGTACCTATGAACAGACTTTGGCACAATGTCTCATTCAGATGAGCATGGTTTTTTTCATTGGTGAATTTGCATTATCACTGCCTGTGCACAACAGAACTTCTCTCAAGATGACTTTGCAACAACCATGGTGCCATGAGGCAGACATTTTCATTGGTTGATTTGACATTGATTGTATTTCATCAGCTGTGGCACATTCAACAAAGTTCATAACCTGTATACTATTTTCTGTTCATGTCCAGAACCTTTGCGTTTTGCCCCAAGACCTCCATGCTCTCGAGCAACCAATATCCGAGGAAGGGTATTTTCCGAAGTTGCTCAGGAGCTGATAATGCCTCTTGAATGCCACCACTCTGGGCTTAGCAGTTCAGCATACAACTGCAGTCTGAACTGCAATTTTCCGTGTTGTTTTAATTTTCTGTACCTGGAATGTATGTGCCTGTCCTGGCGACTTACAAACTGAATCGCTGGTGCGCTGTGCGTTGTTGGAAATTGCTTTTGCAAGGGAGGACAACAACATTGTGTCTTTGCATTGTGTTGTGGCACAAATAGCCCAGAACTTCATATTAGGTGAATGAAGGACAGTTTGACATTTGCTGGCAAATGAAATGAGCAGGAAGTGTTGTTGTATGTTCAGAGCCAGAAGGCCGTGCAGGACCAACCACATCACCCAGCAAGGGCTCCCCACCCTCTGGACCCCCCCCTGCAGCAGCTATGAGACCAGTAGACTTGTTCTTCTCGCGAATGATGCCAGCCTTGAACGAGGCTGGGCTGGAACGTCACACACCCAGGAAAGACTGGCCCATTGAGGTCATGAAAAAGGTGAGTAGGGGCGTGGCAATACTGCAATTCCTGTCCCATTCCATAGGACAGCAGTGCATTGACTCGCATTCACTTGCTGCTTGTTTGTGGCTTTCATCTACATTGCAACGTGTCACGATGTGAATGGCAGCATATTTAGAGCAAACCTCACAGATCTTGCCAAACACGATGTTCATTCTGATGTCACACTTGCATACCCGGAAAAGTGATGCATTACTTGTTTTGGGCCTTTGCATCAGTGGCACACCAAAAGGAATGGAGCCTGCAGCTGTGAGTGCGTAGGCATGAAATTTGTGGGCATGATGGAAACTTGTCGTTTCCTGTGTTCCTGTGATGCTTTGAAAGACCTATCCCTTGTCATGTTAATGGTTGGCAGTCGAACAGCTCCACACAAATTTTGAGCTAGTGATGCGTGACATTGCTTGAAATCTTGGCCACGTGCAACAAGACTGTAGAAATATAGGTTTGGCACTGCGTGTGTTGAGAATCTCAAAGCATTGCACCTGCACTTTGCAGGGGTTGGCAGCCATAGTTGCAGTCACTGCTTTTCTTCCAAACTGTTTGCTACTCTCTTCGCACAAAATCCTGAAAACCACCAAAGGGAAGGAAAGCAGGAAGCTAAAGTTCCAGCAGGAACCAGCAATATGGCGTTGCAAGTGATGGTCAATTGAATGGACTTTCCCTGTGCATTCAGGTCCGACACTGTGCACAAGCTTGTTTGTGTAACATACATACCTGCGTGCTGGCTAGGTTGTTATGATTTGTTTGCTTTTGCAGGTCTTCAGTGGCCTCAAGCGCGCTGTGCCTCAGCAGCTCTTGGCGAAAGACCTTTGGTGTGGTAGTGGAACCAGTGCAGCATGGTGGCAGCGAGTTAGGCAGTACAGTCAGTCACTGGCTGTCATGAGTATTGCAGGCCACATTCTGGGCCTTGGTGACCGGCACTTGGACAACATTCTCCTGGACAAGCAAACAGCAGAAGTTGTGCACATTGACTACAATGTTTGCTTTGAGAAGGGTTTAAGGCTCAGGGTCCCTGAGTTGGTGCCCTTCAGGTTGACACAGACCTTGCAGGTAGTGAGTTTGCCCATAGTTTCCAAGTGAACAACATGAACAAAATCGTTGTGGGAAGAGGCGTCCATGTTGTGAAGAGTGCTAGAGATCACCCAACAGGTGCACAGGCAGCGATTTGTCATATTTTAATCTGATGGTGTTGGTGGCAAGTTGCAACAAGTGTATGTTCATTGTGATGTGAGGCAAGTCACCTACTGTGCAACTTGTGAAATAAGGTGGATATGTGACAACTCTTGGCCCATGATTCCGATGTTACCGTGCTGCAGGCATCAATGAGCCTTGGTGGCCTGTCGGGCATTTTCCTCCACAAGTGCACAGATGTCCTGACGGTGATGCGGGACAACAAGGCAGGCCTGAAGGTGCTCCTGGATGCCATGCTCAGCGACCCCACTGTGGACTGGGCAGCTGAGCGACATGAGAGGGCTGCACGGAAGGTATCATTTACTTCGTTAACTACTTTACACTTACACTTACTACCTTACACTGGTAGACTTCTGCATCTTCTTCTGCAGCACAAAAAGAACATTCCAAAGTTACTCATCAGGAGGGGTGGCCCACTGTATGTTGCCTGTTCTCCTTTATGCCAAATTGCCTTGGCCTGTGACACCTGAGTCATGCAGGTCCTTGGCAAGCATGCAGCACAAGAGGGTCGCACACAGCATCCATGAACACATGTATTATGCTGAGCTTGGCACAGCCAGACCAAGCACAAGGATATTGTTGTTGGTGTTCTCTGGCATGCTGGGATTTGTTTGTGTGGACTGTGATCAACAGGACATGGACCTGGCTGTCAGTCTGCAATTGTTTGCATCTCGAGTTGAGGAGCTCCGGCAGCCCCTTCAGATACCTTCTGTGGAGCTGTTGCCACGTTTGGACGAGTGTGTCACTGTATGCCAAGTGTATCTTGAGCTGCACCAATTCATGGCAACACAACAACATCGTCTTTGCCATGCCAGGCGGCAGGTGGCTGATGCGCAGGTGAGGTGATAGAGCAGCCACGATTCTTGCCCTAGCATACACCTGGATTGTTTGGTGGGAAAATTAACAATTCTTGTGGACACAGCTCGTCAGCCTGTACAGAGCCCAACAAGAACTGTATGTTGCACAACATTGTACACAAACAGTGCCCAACGCTGTCACAAAGGTGAAAGGGCGTTGACTTGCCAGGCTTGGACAAGTGCAGGCAGTGAAGAGTTACACATAGGCACTGGCCTGGTGGAGCTTTAAGCTGGCCATGGCTGCATCTTGAACAGGTGTTAATAGGCATGTCAATAAAGGAGGGGGGCAGAGACACATCAAAAACAAACACTCAAGAACACAGACAGCATTTGACACTGTCCAGCAGATGAAAAGGCAGCATTTTGTTGCATTTTCTTGCATGTTACCAATGGAGATTTAAGTAAGTCCGGAATGGGCAAACGCTGCTTCATCAGCAGTAACACTCTCTGATCTTAGTTTGTCCACCACAGAGAGACTCCAGACCAGTTGGCATGCATCCTGTGCAACTTCGTGCTGCATGTGCTGACTTTCTGTGTTGACTTTCTGCACAGTCTACACTTGCTAGCGCTGCTGCTCAAGAGGGTGCACATCTTGATGCATACAGTAAAGCTTCAGAGGTTCAAGCAAAGTGCATCAGTGATATGCAGACTGTGCAGTCCGGTATTCAGCGGGTGGTGTCACACTGCCAGGGATGGGTGTACAGACACCTTCAGGTTGTTGGCACCTTGAAAGAAGCAACACCATCAGTTCTGAGCACGCGGCAACCAATGTGGCATTCTGGAGCAAGCACTACTTCGCTGGGTATGACACAGTGAACGCCCTATCCAACATGGCTACGAAATTGTGACTTGAGATGCTGATGCCCATTTAGGATCAGTAATGGGCACCCGTCTTGTGTGATGAGAGGTCGGATCCTCCTGATGTGTCTTGTGGTTGTGTATGCATCACTGTTTTGGGGCACCTTTTTCATGTTATGCATTTTTTATATCAAGAATGGCTACTCTGGCTTGCATCATTCCTGTTAGCACTCAAGGTTATGTGCTTCCCCAAGGGTGCGTGACAAATAGGCTGCAATTGTACTGGCTACACACTGTTGCGAATGCCCTTTTCTTGCGGCACTGAGGTCGATGATCAACAGGATCTTGCTGTCCCTTGTTCACCATCAAATTTGAAGCCAACTTGTCCCTGTCATGCTCAGGGGTTGCCAATCATGTCAGGTTGAGCCTGTGTCGTGCTTATGAATCGACATGTGTGATGTTCTGTGGCAGAGCTTGTCCTGAAGTCAGGTACATCTCGGAGTCAGACCATTCTGGAGAGTGTCTTGGGTAGGGCACCTTCAACATCAGTCCTCCCAACAGATGTGCTACGCCAGTGTGTAGCGTTGGATCGTCAAGGATGCAATCTACTGCAGTCACGAGACTCTGTTGTAGCTGGAGCGCTGAAATCCCTGACACAGTATTCTGCCATCTTGAAGCATCTACTGCCCCAGAATTATTGGAAGAGCAGTCAACACTATAAATGGGCAGAGTGTTTTCAAGCAGCGCTGGCCACAGCCCCTGAGAATGGGTTTGAAGCTGCACAGCAGCTTGCACCAAAGGTGAGACACAACTGCTTGTTCACACTGTCGACAGATGGGGGCATGGGTGGATATGGTGCACCTGGTGCAGTGCAGAAGCCATCACGGTTTCCACGCCCTGTGCAGATCTCTGTTGCAGCCCTGCATCTGGAAGCTTGGAGCAATGTGACCACAGAAGCAACTGGCAATAGTGTTGCTTATATGACCCCTAAATTTTTTATGCTAAAGTCACAAATTGCGACATCTGGGTGGCGGCAACTGGGTTAGGTGCATATTGGACTCTTGTGTGGTGCTCAGAAGCTCCATGATTGTTGGTTGTGGATGGCAAATTGTGCACTTCGTGCTATGCTTGCAGGTCCCCCCAGAAGATTCTGTCACCAGCATGTGGAGAGCACTCATTACGGCCTACACTGGTGTAGGACGTACAGTGAAAAGCCAGGATACACAGGGAATGACACCAACTTTTGGACGCTTGGAGAACGATGCAGCTTCAAAGGAAGAGCAGCTCCAGGCAGCTCTTTGTGACACCAGTGGTGATGCTGACCTGGCAGCAGCTGCTATTGTGACTGTCTGCAAGGCTCTGTTGGAGTGGGCGGATGAACCACTGTCTACAAAGACATTGCCTCGCAAGAGTCCACCAGGTTTCCAGGAGGAAACCAATGGTGTTGCTATCTGGGCACAAAAGCTGCATGGCCTTGCCAAATTGCTGAAGTTGTTGGCCTGTAGCGAAGTGGGCAAGGTGGGTATTGGTAGTTGGTTGTTGGGAGGTGGCTGGACAGCTATTGTGTAGACCTGAATTCATCCGTTCAGCTCACATGCATTCCTGTGCACCCATCAACCGTCGGCAATTGGATTGTGTTTGTCAGCAGGACACCTGCTGCTTTGTCACATATACTGCCACTTGTTCGAGGTGTCCATCATTTTGCTGAGCCCTCACAAAACACAAACAGCACTGTAGAGGCATGGTGGAGTGCAAGTGAGGTGCTGTCCTTGTTATTCAAGATGCGGCAGAGTTTACCTTATTTAGGCAGAATTTGTCCTGCAGAAGCCAACTGCGCCCTTGTAATGGCTTTGTTTCTGGAGCTCTAGTCCTTAACTGTTCCCCTTGTTATCACTGTCTTGCTTGAGTTGCAGATGACAGGAACGAATTTTCATGCACGCAATGGGGTGAATTTGCTTCAAGTGATTTTGGTTGTATTCGTGTACCATGCAGATGGCATTGCTGGGACGCAACGCAACAGATGACAATGTCTCCTCAGATATATCTGTTCGATACTCATGGCTGAATGCACTGGAAAAGTACTCCTCTGAGGCAGTTGTGGCATACAAGAGCTTCAGAATGGGTTCATTGGTGGACGTGGCAGCTGTTTTCGAAGAAGGTAACTAGTTAAGTGGTGAGAATCCGGGAAGGCATTGAGTTGAGTGTAAACGCAATGGCAAGCAATGGTTACATTCTACAGTGCTAATTCATGTCCTGTTGTGAAAGGTCCTGACACTGTCAAAGTGAGCATCACAGAGTCAGTGAAGAAGGCAGTATCTGAGCTGGAAGCTGTGCTGGCACAAGCATGGGAACTGGAAAATTTGAGGCTTGACCATGCCGATTTTTTAATGAACTACGATGAAAAGGTAGGGCGAGGCAGTGCATTATGTTCCCACTTTTCATTTATTTGTCCAACTGTTGTGCTCTGGCATCCTAAGAATGCACCAAGGCAATTTCTTCTCATGTGCTGCCTTCATGGCTTTTGCTCATTTGGTTTGTGGTAATGTGCAATAGTGCTTTGCCTTGCTCAGGTATCATCAGTTGCGAAGAGCCTGAGGGAGGTCCAGGAATCAGCATTCAATTCTGGCCTCGCTCCGGAAGAGCTGCAGGGACTTGCCACGCAGCAGCAAGAGCTGGTTGCCAACCTGCAGGTAAGATGCATGATTTTGTGGATTCTTGAAGACCTATGATTTCAATTTCATACAATTACCAACATAGTTGTCAGCAGTGCTTTGGATCTTCAGGGCAAATGACAACAAAATTTGTGTGAATCACAGCCCTTAGACTTTGGAAGATGTCTCTCCTTGAGCTGTTCAGATTTACTGTGCTTCTTTGTCACCCACGTTTGTTGTGTCCAACAGCAACAGCAGCTCCAGTGGGATCAGCGCGATGAGGTTCAGGCACATATCAACGAGCACGCTGATGCCCTCAAGCACGAGGCCACACTTGTGGCTGGGAGGCTGGCTTCTTTGATGGAACGAGGATGCCCTGGCAGTCTGGCTGCTGAGGAGGAAGGCGAGGCAGTGCAGTGGGGTTCTTTTGAAATCCCTGTGTGGAGGCCACTTGCAAAGGTTGGCACAGCGAACTGATATTTGCTGGTGCAATGGATAGAAGACGATGCAAGGAAAGCGATGATTGGATATTGCAAGTGTTGGAACTGTTGCACAGTCCAGAAAAGATATTCTGCTGCTGAATGTCTCTTCTCTTGTAGTTGCTGTACTCACAAAGCCATTCCATTCAGTCTCAAGGTTTCTTCAATCGTATTGCTGCAGTTGTCATGAACTTGACATTGTTGCGTTGTGCATTTCGAGTGTTGGTTGATTGGGTTGTGGCAGTGCTTCTCAGTTCTGCACATTGTCAATGCTCAGTGTACAGTCAATTTGCACTCAAGTATGTTGATGATGGATAACATTGTCCATACGATTGTCCTATGTATAGCATTTTGCTATGGAACGCATGGATTCTGGATGGTGACCTGATGGCAAAAGGCTGTTGTTGTGCCTTCAATGGAATGCCTGCAATATGGAAAACTTGTCTGGGCGTTGCTGCTCGAGATGAGGGGACAGAAGGAGCCTGTGCAGTGGCTACTGGAATTTGATTCAGTGTTGTCTACCATTCAGATCTTCAAGCGACTGGAGAATGCAGAGCAGCACCTGTCTCCTTATGTGGATGGATGTGTGGAGGCCGCTGGTGGCGAGATGACAGGAAATCTGTATGAGGATCAGGAGTTATTTCCTTCGGGTTTCCGTCAGTGGAACTGTCTCTTGGAGCAGGCGAGATGGCTGAGGGACCTTGTCATGGCTGTGTCAGAGCGCGCACGTGATTCACAGCCTTTGAACACACAATCTCGAACCAGAGAAACTGGGCAGGGTGTTGCCATTCTGCTGGAAACTAGACTGTTGGCAGCACTGGAAGCAAGAGTCTGCAAGCTTGCTCCACCTGTTTTTCGAACAGGCATACAGGAATTGGTGTCTGCACTGGAGGGCAGGCCTCAGGTGACCTGTGTCTCAGCTCTTGAAGCTGGCAGTCACCCCAAGGATGCAATGCCTGAGAGCTGCAGTGGATTTTTCGGCGATGTTGTTGATGCCCCCCAAGAGGTGTTGGGCGAACTTGAGATGCCACTGGAAGCTGAAGAGGAAGTGGAGGAGGCCAGGGGCAGCTGGAAGAGTAGCAGCACATCTGAGAAGCAGCTGGTGAAATTCGCAGACTTTGAACGTGGCCTTGACAGCTCCAACGATCTGCTTGAACCGCTTGAAGGCAGCAGGCCTGAGAGCAGGGGCAAGCAAGATGACCCTGCAAAAGGTGATTCTGCACATAGGACTGTCATGGGTGGATGTGACGGCCTGAAAGCCTGACAATCAACTGATGGTTGTGGTGTTGTGCTTTGGTGCTTTTAGTAGATGTAGGTGCATTGGAGCAGGGGAACTTGGTTGCTGTCACAACTGGCTTGCATCTGGCAACAGACTAAATCGATTCTGTGAATGGAATCCTGCAGGCCACCAGGTGTAGTTGCCAAAGCTGGTTGAAGACACAGCACATTTGCAGTAAGCTGAACTGCAAAGTCCACCGATGATGGGTGCTGTCCTTGGAAGTACTGGATGTTCCAAAAAGCACACAGTGTAGGAATGAATTCGTTGACTTACATGGCCCTGACGAACATTTTAACACTTGGGTTGCTGTCTTGGTTTCTTTGACAGAGTTGAAGTCTTCTCATGAGAGAGTGCCAGATTTGGTGGAGTTGATGCACAGATGCCTAGATGCTGGAGGAAACTACTCATTGGCCCAAATCCAACACCGTGCAGTGTCCTCATGGGTGGCCGAATTGAAGTTGGACCAGACCATACGACTGCACAACCTTGCTGCCTTTGAATGGGTTCATGACTCAGAAGTACCACGTGAAACAGGTGCCAGGGGGCTACAGTATGTGGGTGCATACTTCCGTTGTGTAGGACTGGCAGACTTGCCAGAGGATCTGCAGCGCGACCCACTTGGCAGGTCACAGATTGTTTCCAAGCTCCAGGTAACCAGCATGCATTGAACAGTTGCGTTGATGTTTTGCGCATCGTAAGGCCTGTGACATACCGTGCTAGGCGAGAAATGTTTTGCGGATCATAAGGCCTGTGACGTACTGTGCTAGGCGAGAATTCCACATGTGCAATGGTCACATGTTGTTAAGGTGCTGTTGCAGCACTGCAGAATTGTGATCTGCCTACCGAATGGTGATCAGTGCTGCGATCATCGTTGAAGCCAACACTGCTGCCTGCCTGTTATTGGAGTCTATATACCCATTGCCTCAGGGCAGTCAACACAGACTCACCAAAGCAGCACTCTTCGTCGTGTGAAGGAGCTTTTGCGGCCTGTGATCAGGGTGCCTTGAAGGGATTGTCAGAGCTCGATCCGGCCTATGCTGAATGGGATCAGCAGTCTGAGGCTATGTCCCAGCAACTGCATGGGTGTGTCCGGGCTGCAGCGCTGGAGGGCACACTACCCGGCATGGACGGCCCTGTTACAGCGCAGGCCCTGCAAGGTTACCTGAACAGAAGAGTGAAGTGGCTCAACAGTGCCAAAGAATACGCCGACAATGTGGCCAGCATTATGCAAGCCGTTCTTCAGTTTGAGCATTCACGCAATGGGCAACTGTGGGCTCCAGGTGTGGCACTATTTTACTAAGTACATTCCCAAGCAATGCTGCATGGAGATCAAGCTGTGCAGGTTCACCTTGTTCGTAGATGTGCCTGTGTGGCCAATCAAGTCTTGGCAAACACTGGTGTGCGAACTGGCTGGCACTTTCTGAAAGATGTGCCCATGTACTCACCACCCGATGCATGCGGCTTTCTGACAGCAGTTGAGATTTCTGTTGAGACCTCAGCTTGTGGCGCAACGCTGAGTAAGTGCACCGCAAGTTGGGGGGTCGAAATATCCATGCTTCGAAATATCCAAGTTTTTTCTACGTTCATCCTTTGCGATTGGCCTGATATTCCATGTGCATGAGTCACCATGCTTGCGACATGGCGTGTATGGTCATAGGACACATGATCAATGAGCAAAGCATCACCAGGCTAGCCACACTGCCCCCTTTTTAGTAGCATGATGTCATCAAAGCAGAATAGGGGAAGGTTATTGTTGCCAAGACGGTGTTGTGCACTCTCCAGATCAGGAGCTCAGCCCTCGCACTTTCAATGAGTTTCAGGAATGGCTGTGCCAGCTTGACGGTGCATCTAGCAGTCTCAAGGCTGCCCAGGCAGATGTGCGGATATTTCACGCCCAGTCAGCAAACCTGCAGAACATGGCGACACGAGCTTCAGCCGTGATGAAAGCAGCCCTTGTTGAGGAGGCACGCACATCGTCTCAATTCTCCGAGCATGCCGAGTTGCTGATTTCGTCTGGCGGTGCAACATCCGAGAAGCTGGGGGCTGTTGTCACTGGCATGGCTGCAGCTGCAGAGCCAATCGAAAACGACATGAAGTCCTTGTTCAACGAGTTAAGTTCGGTGACAAGCGGGCACAGAGCAACACGGGATGTGCATCAGCTCGTTGGGAAAGTGCTGGAGCAGCACAGTGGACTGCTGCAGACACTGCAGCAAATCAGGGAAACGGTGCCTGTGGTTGTGAAAATGTTCGAGGGGTGCATTGATGCCAAACACTCACAAGATGACACTGCGAGCACAAGCGCAGACGAAGCAAAGGCTGTGGCATTAGCGGAAACAAGGGACTTGTGGACACAGGTTGAAGTGTGTTCCGGGCTATGCGCTCAGGTAACCGTTGGTGGTGTCAGTTGTTCAGGCGACAAGGTTGGAGGGGATCATGTATCCTGCATGATAAATTGTTTTCTGATAATTGGTGTTCTGAAGTTTAGGTGATTCTACTGTCGCAACCCGAAATAGTCCTCGCCCTTCTGTCCCTCTCCAGGTGATGTACCATGCAGTTTCCCCACGTAAAGAGAATGGATCTTCACCCTGTTGCATAGCCATCCGATGTTGTTGAAGACAATAACAAGTGCATTACAGGATGACAGGACAAGCAAACGCCTCAATGTGACCATAACCACCACACACATGGGTTTCAGCCAGTAGTTTCAATACTCACATATGCGGTCTAGTTTAACTGGTAATGCGACGTTGTAATACGACGTTGCAATATTCCAACTGGCAACACCAGTTGAAATATTGCAACGCTGATGATATGTCGGACACGGAGAGCATGATCAGAACGGGGAGTACTGCATAGCCTTGCACCCTGCCGCTCCCCAAGTTGTATTTGCATGGCCTCTACAGTACCGTGAGATGATGCCAAAGACTGCTAGAGTGTACTAAAATAACACCGTTTATGGCGTTGCCATAAACGTGTGCTGAAGTCCTAGATCACGGCAATGCGGGCTGCAGTGCTGATATGCTCAAGTACAGCTGAACCTGGCATGCCCCAGCAGCGCCAGGATGCTCACTGCTGGAGCACATTATTTCGTTTGGGGCACTCTTGACATGAGCTTTGTGTACAGGCATCGAAGTCCTTGCAAAGTCTGTGCTCTGCCCTTGATTCCCTGCTTACAGCAACGAACAGCATCTCAGTTGCCCTCCAGTCCGAGCATGGCCTTGAGGAGGACATCGTCGATCCTGCCGATGCTGGACGTGTTGATGGATCAATTGCAAGGGATAGCAATGACCAAGAACAGGTGCGGAGCAGTCCACAAGGCGTGGCAATAGCAGGAGAAGAGGAGCTTCCAAGGAACCTGATGCGCCATATCCTGTGAATCGTCGCGTGCCATTGCACAAGGCCACCCCGACTGATTTCGTGCGTAGATTAGCCTTTCAGCTAACTTTCGCCGGTCGCATGGGCGGCTTTTCTGATACATGCGTTAGTGTTGTCGCGTGGCGGAGTGAACTAAGATGCTATGTTGGGAGGAGGAAGAGGAATGCGCCATCGACGTGAATGCTGCAGAGCATGTGCAAGCCACCGATTTTCCTTGACAGTCGAAGGCCCATGTGTGTTAATTGTCGTCCCGGTAGCCCTTGTTGGGTACTGCTGCGGGCAGCAGCCTGGGCCAGGCGTACAGATTCTCCCCTTGTGAAAGAAGTAAACAGATGTACCAGAACACCTGTGGCTAGTGTTTGTGGCGAAGCGTTGAACCATTGTTGGGTTATGTTTTCTTGTGCTTGTGGGCGAGAATTCGCTGCCCTTCCCGTCGATTTTAGTTAGTCGACAATTGTGTGCCAATTGTGCATTCTGTTCTGCGCAGGACTTGGGGTCTACGAGCGCGTTAGCGTCGGAAAGACCAGAGGATGGGGCCAACCCACAACAGTGCAGCGCGAGGCAGTGGCTGTCAGTGGCTGGTCTGTCACAGGAAATTGAAGGTTCGCAAGCCCCAGTCATTGCTGGTGGCCTCCAGGCAGCATTCCAGGCTGCAGCAGCATCTGATGACGTCTCTGAAACCGTCCCTAAAAGAGAACGCGATGAAGACGGTCGTACTGGAGAGTGTGAAGGAGATGTGGGCGATGTGCCACCGAGTGGTCCCGGAACCAAGGACGCTCAGCATGGAGGCGAGCCAAGCAGTTGGCGGCCGCCTGCTGGTGAACCGCAGGGAGAGACGCATGGAGGCACGGCGGCTTCACAGAGCCCAGTCGTGGTGGGGCGTCGAGGTCGCAGTGATGCAGTCATGCCGTCGAGGCTGGTTCGTGGCCTCAGCCAGGAGCAAAAGACGTATGCCGCATCTGTGCTGGGGAGGTGCATCGCCAAACTCGGGGGTAGAGAGAGGGAAGGCGGCGCTCAGTTGACAGCGCTGCAGGAGGTGGAAAGATTGATTCAGCAGGCGACAAGCACAGAGAACCTGTGTCGCATGTACGAGGGCTGGACACCTTGGATATAGGATGGCTGCGAGCACTCATGCCAGGAAGGCTTGAATCGCGGATATGAATTGCAACATGTGAATTTTGGGCTGTCCACCAAATGTCACACGCACAGACCCGCCAACTGGGCAGAGCGTATTAGTGTCTTGCCACTTGTATCCCTCTCTCTCTTCCCCCACTTGCCCTTCAGCGTCAGTCCTTATGTTGTTGGCCTGATAACACACTTCATCATGGGTCGGTCTCCCAACCCCTCATTACGTGCCCGACGTCAGCCATACTTCCATACCATTTGCCTGCCCTGCTTGAATAGCGAACCAACGATGATACCGCGAAGCCATGATATTCATCTCCAATGGAGTGAAGAAAATTAACAGCCGAGGCAGAGTACTACCAGCAGAGCTTAATTTGGCGCCAATGGATTGCAGGACAATTCGCGTTCGTTGAGAAGGTTTGCACTCCGCCACAAATTCCCATGCAGCATGGACGCAAGGCCATGTGCGACTTATCCTGGCTAACTTCTCAGACTGGTTGAAGGGTTTAAAACACATATTGTGACACGCTTCCCAAAAGGAGGAGTGCACGATCTCCCTACGAGGAGATATTTACATGCATGAAAGGTGCATTGTCGCGCTGCAACAATGCGCTCAATGGGCTGAAAACATTCCTCCAAAATGGTACATAACTTGTAGCGGAGTAAACTAGTTCCTGGTGATGCTGGCCGTCGGCAAGACAGTAAGGATAGGGTGCTGAATGTATCGGGCAAGGGCCATGATAGCCTATCTTGACGTAGGTTGAAGATATGACGCTGCTTTAACGAACTATTGTTGGGATGTGCAGCTGTTGTCCTGAAGGGCTAGCCCCAATATCGCATGGCTTCGACACAACTCCACACATTGGCACAGCCAAACATCATACCCACCAGAATCGCACATCTACCCCATACACAAATAGCCAAGCCCTTACACTTTTAAGGAAACCTTTTCACTTCCACTTCTTTTTTAACTTGGATCTTCGCACAATGCAGTTCAGAGTGACAGCGCCAATGAACATCAAGATAATCGTCAGAATGAGGAATGCAAAGTTGAAATCTTCTTCAAGGGAGTCAAATGCCTTCTCTGGCTGCAGCCGTGCATAAAACAAGTCCAACCCATAGGCAAGCATGTGGCATCCGGACTCCAGACCTGATGGTGCCGTCAAGATGGCCTTCAACACCACACAAACGTTTCTCGTTAATCTTGACTTAATCCTGAATGGCCCGCTCGCACAAGTGCAAAATGTGTTGGTTTGCCCTAGAAATGCGCCACAACTGTATGAAGTTGGATTTCAGAGTGCAACACAGCCAAAAGCCAAACAACTGTAAAGCGAATGAATATTACACAACCAAACTGCTGACGGCTCAACACCAACATCAACCAACCTCGCCTTAACTGCGGTACATCAATGGCCTGATGAGGGTTTCAATGGTGCAGAGATAGATGCAGGGGGGGGCCGGGGTGGGAAGGGGTGTGGGGTGGGGTGGGGGCTGGGGGATGGGTCGCTGGCCTGGCAGTTGGCTATGGATCCTCGTGTATGGTCCTTGATATATTTCGTAGAAATTGACAAAAATTCTGTGGCGCAACAAGGCGCTGTGGCAAATGCAAAACTCAATGTGGTTGTATTTGGGGCATGTCGCCTGCTGTAAAAGCTTGTGGGCACCCGTTAGTGCGATAGCTCGCCATGACACATATTACGCTGTGCAATTCATTGCACCCTATTCTGTAATTTCGCACGCCATAAAGCGCCGAATGTGCACACCAGAAACTGGCATTTGTCATCAGTGCATAACCTGAAAAGGCTGTGGAGGTTGAGTGAAAACGAATAACACGTAAACAAATGTGTTTACATACAATATGTGCGTGTGTGTGTATGTGCCATGGCCTTCACGCCATTACTACAGCCGGGGATCTTCTTTTCCCCGTTGGCTGCTAATGGAGTCCAACTGGCAACCTTATGACGGCTGCTAGAGGCCATGTGACCAGCAGACAACGTAACGTGATCATATGTGGCACAAGTGACACAATTGCCAAATCACAGCACTGAGTGCTAGGTCTTCTCAGGGTCTCCAACACATTATATCGATTTGGGCACACTTTGCGGCTCACAGAACCCAAAATTGCTCTGTTGGCAGGCGAGGGGGGCAGCCCCAGAGCTCTGGGCTTGCCCCCCTCGCCTGCCAACACTTCAAAGTTTGCAGTTCAAACATCCCCTTTCCGAGCCTAATATAATCGCCACGGTGGGGCTGTTTGCCTTCCTTGAAAACGTTCTGATGTTACGCCGCTCTTCAAGGCAAAGTTATTGAGTCGTACGATATAGCTGTACGATAAGGATTGATGGATAAAGTAAAGAGGGGGTAGGGGTGGGGTCTGAGCCTGGAGCAATTTGTCACGAAACATACCAAATCGATACAGCATTTTCCCAACACATGGAGCATGTGCACTCAGAATGGGGGCGAAGGGGAACTTATAATGCGAGGAATGGTGAACAAGCAAGGAGTTCGTACAAAATTCAACACTTTTTTAAAGTCACCCTCCCCAACACATCCAGTGCTGTATCTCGACATGCGTCAACGCGCAAAAATATGCACAAGCTGCATACTCTTGGCTGTACAACACCACAATCAACACGACAGCCATTGAAGGACCTGGACATCTACGTGGCTGCTATGGATGCCAACATGAACCAAAGACATTCACATTTCAGCCTGCAGACAAAGCACCAGCCACTCACCTTCAACCCAAGGACATCTTTGTTTTGTGTTGCATACATCGTGGGATACATGTACAAGTTCTCGCTGTAGGGTATGAGCCTCTCCTCCCTCGCCTCTGTTGGTTTGCGCCCTTTAGGCCGCCGTGGATCCAAGAACCTCTTATCCATTGCGTATACCTAAGGATTAGCAGCAAAAGAACTTAAGCATCAAAAGTCAAAAGAAGCACACACGCAGTTCCACTCAGCCCTGTCCAAAAGGCACAAACAACTGTTGCGCTGGCAGAGGCCAGCCTACCAACATACAAAGCATCACGCTGCACGAAATCAATGGACGGGCAGCAACCACCAACTGTTGCAGAACAGAGTGAACTCCACGACACACAACAATCAGACAATGACTAAGTGAGGACAACAGATTCGGCACCAAGATGCAGTGCATCGATGGTGGTCGTCATAAACCTACTTGGTCAGCAGCAGTTCCAATCAAAACCCGTTGTGTTGTGATCCCTTTGGAGGTTTTCGTTGTCGTAAGGGTCTTCACCGCATTTGAAACGAAATACGACGACCTCAGGACTTCAAGCGGGACAGGTTGGTGAGACGACAGTGTCTCATTGGGGCCCTCGGAAAGCATGACGTCCAGCACGGATATCCCTTGGTGGCCGCTGTCATACAGCTCCATTGCTGACATTTGATATCTGGGAAAGCAGCAATCGGGAACACAATGGCATTTGAGGGAAGGCACTCTGCACAGCTCATTCACTGACTCTGCAACCCTGTCATCGCAGTGTCCAAACAATTGGGGAGGCTCACGAAATCAACTTGCAACTGCGAAGCAACGCTCTTGCATTCAACAAAGACTGCACCCTTTCACATGCACCCATGCCTTCAAACATGCTCCAAACATTATCGTACTTGTGAGTGGGTGTGAATGCTCACAACACACGTTGTCCAGTCATGGAAGACTGCACCTTTTGAGCTGTCCCAGTAAAAAGACAGCACCACTGTTACCAACCAAGGCAAGGGGATACAGCTTGCACAAAAAATATCCTTTATCCTTCCACACTGCATTGGGGCTACTTTCAGTACACCAGACAAAACACACATCGCCAGCCAGGCAAGCATGACACCAAAACAGCCATTTTCGGTAGCCACGTTTGCTGCTCTTGCTCTTAGTGGTCAACGGTTGCTTCATGCCTCATGAAATCCAACTGGTAACCTGCTATGTGTGTGCCAATGCTAAACAATGCAGCATCCTTAGCACACCTTTGGTTCTTCAGGGACCAGTAGTGGTAGACTATCCAGTGTTGAGAGAACACAGCCTTGACGGGGCCCCTGGCACCCCTATGAACCTGCCGGAAGAGTACACGCCCCGTCACTGTGTCCAGCACAGTGACAGTAAGCTCGATGCTCTCCCGATCAAGCTCTTCGGAAGGCACCCCAAATGCTGGGCCACTTGCAACAAAGGCTGTGTTTGGATTGAGGTACTTGAATTTCAATGTCCTATCCCCAAGAATCTGCAAATACACACACACAAATAATTAGCCCTTTCCGTGACATCCTAACAAATCGGATTGTGTGTTACCTGCCATCTGTGCCTCAAAGGCACAACGCCTGTCACATGGAGCAACCATGTGACAACCAAGGACTGTCAGGTGACAATAAATCCCCCATGTTGAAGACAAGGACTGGCCCAAGACTAGAGCCCATTGGAGCTGTGGTGGGATATCACATCTGCTGGGTGGATAGATGAATGAACAGAGAGGCACAAGGGTGACCTTACCTTGACGAAGGAGTGCACAGGGTCAAAGGTATCTCTTGTTGCAATTTCCAAGATAGGAGAGTGAAAACTCAGTGACCATAGATCGCTGAGCTGCACATGGCCAGTGGTCGCATCCACATCTCCATTGACAACCCCGTAACCTGCCATGGTTCCATTCCCCTTGTCTGATCTCCAGAAGTGGATTTGCTTGTACACTTCCTTCAGCCAAGCCCTTGTCTCTGGTAGATTGGGACTGAGGTAGGCCTCAGGGTACCCACTGCTGTCATCAACAAAAAGGAACATGTGCTGCTCAGCTGGACCATCGCGGATGACGCCTGGTAGTTGAACTATCTGGAAAAAAGGTAGCGAAGCAGCAGGTCAGTTTCAATAAAGGCATCGTGCACATTTTGGTTGTGGCAAGGGTGCACCAACAACTAATAACCCAGTAATACCATCGCCGGTCTTAATGTTATGCCTCACCAAAGCCTGAACACACAACATAAAATTCTTAACTCCCTTGATGTCTTGAACGTGCAGCAGGATGTTGAGATTGAAGATTATGAGCCACACACTAAATTGACACTCAGGAAACATGCCCACAAGCATGTGCCACCCGTGCACTGTGTAGGCAGATACTTCAGCCTTTCAAACATATATATAAGCCCATTAAATGAAGGCAAATTTACAGCATCATGTCGTGTAAACAATCTCCACCACCAACTTATAACTGTACACACACCAAACGCCCATTATCAAAAAACCAATGCGAAATCCTGGCTGCGAATGTGGTAGCTAAATGTCACGGAACCTATGTTACTGCTGAACTTTCGAGGGAAGGGAACATCAAAACAGGGTAGAGCGTTAAGGGGAAGGACTGATCACAAGCCACCCTTGGGGAGGTGCATCTCTGCACACAGTAGCCTCACCTTCTGTATTCCAAAAGGTACTGTCTCTTCTGAGACTGCTCCAGTGTGGGCATTCACAGTAAGGATGGTTGATGGCCCTGGTCCACCAAGTCTGACCAGCAGCAGTTGGGGTGCCTCATTGGGGTCATGAGAATGCCTGGACAACAAGACATGGTTGGGAAATGGGGCTTGGCTCAGGCAGCGAGACCACACCACTCGCCCATCCCCGTTGTGCAGGGCGTACAGCTTGCCAGAGGCAGTCGCAGAAATTATGTACTTTCTCGACCCGTTTGGATCCCTGAGCGGGGCATTTTTTCCACTAAGTGCTTGCTTCATGTCCATCAGCTCCAATTTCTCCTGCTCTGTATTCAAACTGAACTGCACCTGCAAGCACATTCCGAGCCAAATCAACTTTAAAGACATAGTTCCAGGCTACCCCACGACAACCACGTTATCAAAGGAGCAAACAATCACTGATGCAACAGCACACAACAAACACGTTATCCACAGTAGCTGAATGAGTTCATTTATTGTGCAACATTCACGGCCCTGGTACAGCGAATCTTTACAGTCAGCTCCTACACAGTAAGTATTTTTGAATGCAACGACAGCGCTTACCAAGAGGAACCAGATTCAAGTTCCACAGGTACAATGTGTGCATGCGATCCTTGTGCAGCTCACTATGCTGAGAATTGCAATCCCTGGAATGCACTGTGTTGGCCTACTTTGGACTTTAACGCATGCCCCAAACAAATCAAAGCGCAATCGCTTCTTGCAAAAGGTTCGTACAGCCTGACACTTCAGCCATCCGGATCAGGAATCTTCCTAATCTTTCACATCACAATCGATGCACCACTGACATCATCAGCATTCTCATTGCTCATCATCACAATATGAATCAGCCTGAACTGGTGGAGCCTGATGTGGAGACTCACAAAGCCAACAATGCATTTGAGGGATACTGGAATGCAATTGCACAAAAAACCAGTGGAGAAGCAACAGCCATTCTAGCACTATGATCGTCTCTTCCTTGTTTCCAGTATCAGAACTTTTGGTGCCTCATACACACAGTTTGAATTCTCAACTGGAGAAGGGGCTATACGTCAGGATTGCTGTGGCAATGGATGGGTTGACTCATTGGCACCTGGATTGACTGTGTGGCAGCGAATTTTGCCCTGAATTCACTCTGCCTGAATATCGAGAATAGAATACCCAATCACTGACACAGCAGAAGGGTCTGGCCAGTGAATGCAGGATGGGTGCAATTGCCTCAAATTGCCAGTACTCTCAGTCCAGAACCGAACATAAGGGGGCAGCAATTGCACAAAGGGAAAGACAAGCCCCCTGGGAAGCACACCTTCAGGCTCAAAATTTGCGCTTTGATCTTCTTCAACAAGTCGCCCTTGGGGAGGTTGGCAACACCGGGCACTGCATTTGGTGGATCAATGAACAGCGACGACTGCACAGACCCAAGGGCTTCATCCTTGCTCCAAACGACTTGACCTTGCTGAATCAGACTCAAGCTATCATCCCCACCAACCAACAACGCCCTGCATGTGCAGAATCATGCCATAATTATGTATGAACTCCACATGTGCAGCAACACAAAAAACGGCAACCTCTTTGGCAGCACCAACAACCTCACAATAGGTGTCCCTCCCAGCCTGGCAAGTTCATCGAAGCTGACCACAGCCTGTGAGAGTTCAGGCAGTTGGATAGGCCTCCCATTCAGGGTGACTCAGAGGAGGTGTGAGCCCCTCCCCAAAGGAAACACGTTCTGCAAGGCGTGTGCTTGCCTCCAACAGCTGAACAGCAAGCTGCACAACTATTCTCTTGGACGTACAAGCACACAAGGAAACACACCTGAAACCCGTTGTCCCATCCTTCCGATTGTAACGGCCAAGAAAGGCTGATTCAACGTGTTTTGTTGGCCCAACGGTTCCATGCAGGTGGAGATCGGCAAATTCTTCGTGAACAACTTCTCCAGTTGTGACGTCAACCATCTTGAAAAAGATCCCTGATCACCATACATAATGAGATACGATCCTGTCCGCCTGTGCTTGAGTATCTTAGAAAGGAAAATCAACCCCACAATTGTCACACAAAGTGATCGCACAGGAGGGCGTATCCCTCCCCTCCCCCCCCCTCCCCCAAAAAAAATTCCCTCAACACAAGGCCCAATGTGGCATGCATTCTCATTTTGAGACTGGTGCAGGCAAGCTACCAACAACTTCAAACTGAAATGCCGCATGCAGCAGGAAAACTGCAAGGATCAACAGAATCCTTGCGCACAAGGAACACCACAACCACATTCACTTTCACCACGAACACACTTTCATCACTAAAATTCGGCACCAGAAGAAATATGTGGCAATGCCAGACGATTTTTATGGTGTTGGGCATTAAATTATTGACTTGGGGCTGCCCAGAGGAACTGTACTGCCACTTGTCTTTGGCTTCATACAATTATACCAACCATCTGGTCACAGGCCAAGTTGAGGCAAATCGGACACAGTCTGCATACTGATATGCAACAAAACAGGCAACGCCATGGCAGCAACCAGGATGCATATTACGAAGCTTGCAGGAACGGTTCGAGCACAACATCACCAAGGACTGATAAACTGCTTGGGGATGCAATTGATGACTGTTGACCAAAAATGGGCTGCACAAATGCACACCATATCTACCTTGCCCGTCATCTGCAGATCCAACGATGCCAAGCAAGCTCTTCTCATCCACAGTCAGCACAGCGGTGGCAGCAGTGACGCCCTCATATTTCTGAGTTGAGGATATGCTGCTTCCACTCGCGGGCAACAGCGCAGCTATGTTGTTCTCTGCATGCAAATACCTTGGATCAGTTTCTGTCACCCCATGTTTTGCACATGCTCAAAGCCAGCAAACCCATCTGCGACAGGAATCTGCACAGGGCTGAGTTTTTCCATTCAAGACGAATCCAATCCAAGGATTCCAGTCATCCGCAGTGTCCTTGATGCACGTGTAATCTGCACAACACAACTGCCATGCCACCCTCACCTTCATACCCAGGCAATCGAATAAGCACTGTAGGACAAGCTGCACTTGTGCTTCCTTGCCGACATGTAAAAACACATCATCCCCACTGAGAGTGACGGCAGGCCTCTGCTGGTTGTCAAAACCCACCTGTTCCCCTCAATGCCACCAAAAATCTATTTCCAGCCTGATAAAGGGATCCTCTCCTTGGCTTCCCAGGTAGCAATTCTTCCACAGATGTACACGTGGCCGACTGCTGACCTGCGACACAGGGATCCTCCTCAGAGGAAAAGGTTGTCTGCAGTGGAACACTCCTATCCAAGGATGGGTGCAAGGGCACCTCCCAATCGCAAATCCAGCCAGAGCAGATGTATGCTTAGTCAGCCAGAGGAGAGACTGAAACGTGTTCAGCGCTTTGGGACTACTGCCCAGATACCATAGGATTGCACAGATGCAACCTCCAATGCATAAACACTCTCTCACCCTTGATCATGGTAGTACAGACATGTTTGTAATCTGATGATAGAACCCCAACTGACATTCGGCCAATCACCAGCTCTGTCGCTAGTCCTTGCTGCAAAGTTTCAGAATGCTCTGACAATATAGCTCCAGACTCCACGGAGAGTGAAACCACCCTCAATCTGCCAGATCTGCACATTGGGACAAAGTCAAATGTCAGATCGGATGGACACACAAAACCACAATAACTGTATTATTAACGCTGTGCACTGCATGGCTGCCATCAGGAATTCTTGCAACATTTTTCTTGCTATTCATGCCCCGTGATCTGGTGCAGATTGAGGCAGCATTGCCAAGGCATGGAGTACTTGTACTTCTTCAATACCCCAGCGCCATTGATTCTGTCAGACTGGCCCATATCACTGCTGTTGGCAGAGTTGGGATTTCGGGCACCTGCTCATTCGAGGCGAGTACCCAGGCACGCAGGGAAATCGTTCATCAAGCAGAAAATCGTGCATCCCCAGACATGCACAAATCGTTCCAGCATAATCGCTCTCTTCCCCTTACCGGTGCCAAACAGAATCCCAGTCTGCGCAGTGAGTTGTTTGCTGTTGGCTTTTGGCTGCGCAATGGAAGGCCGATAAGAATTCACCACCATGCAAAAAAAAGGCTGTCACCTACCCTGTGTGCGCCGTGGCAGCCACGATCTCGCCGTCGCCGGCCCCCAGCTCGCCAGCATCAAGCGCAGGTGCGTCAGACACCACCGCGCTCCAGATCTCTTCGCCGTCCGTTGCCGCGAACAGCTGCGAAGACGTCCCAACAGAAGTCACCAATGACAAGCCCGCCCCTGACCATGACTGCGACCCCTCCCCGGCGCAAGACATGCGCGAATTCTCGACGACAGTCCCGCAGCGAGCGCCACGGACAGTTCAGCATAGGCAGGCAAGGCCAGTCAGCGCACAGCGCGTCCGTACTGGGCGGGGACCGCATCGCAAACCCCCGCATTTAACGGTAGGAACGCGCTGCACCAAGCCGAACAGGAAGGGCTCCGCCCTCCCACCCCGTCGATCGACCCCCCGCGCCCCGCGCGCCGCACCTTGACCTCCCTTCCCGCCATCACGGCCACCACAGGTTGGTCCGCCGACCCGTCGTTCCGCACAAGATCCACCATCGCCGACGGCCCGCCACCGTCGCCCCGCCCCACCGCCTCCTCCCACCTCAGCGCCCCCTCCAGCTGGTCCCACGCCCTCAGGCGCCGCCCGCCCCCGGACAGCGTGACCACCACGCCGATCTTCTCGATCACGGCCATCCCATCGACCCCTCCCTCATCGTCCAGCAGGTGCCTCCACCACACCTCGCCATCCCTCAGGTTGAGCGTGGCCAGCACGCCGGGCCGCGTGCACACCGATAGCCGCGGCTTTCTGCTGTGCAGGGCCGCGGCGGTGGGCGCGCCGATGAAGGTCCGGCGCCAGTCGTACTTGCCGGCCTGGTCCTCGAACATCGCGCAGGCGAGGGGCGCCAGCAGCGCCAGGCCGATCAGATGCCGCACCGCCGGGCCCATGGCGCGACGGGGCGCCCGGCAGGGTAGCCCTGTGGCCGCGGCGGGTGGCGCGAACGCGTGCGAGCTGGGGGGGGGTGCGCTCCGACCGGCCGCCGCGGCTGGTCGGCGCTATTGGGGCCTGCGCGTGCTTTTAGGGCCGGGGACAGCGTGCCTGGATGCACCTTGGGCAGGTGGGGGCGGTCGCGCTCAAAGTACCCCAGTACTTGAGCAAAAGTGCCCAAACCCATGCCGTGGCGGTTCGCCGCTGCGCAAAATCCTGCACCAGCTGCCATTTTTGGGTTCAAGTGAACAAGTCATTCGTTCCATTCATTCTTCATGCACATGCACTATGGGGAGGGGCCGTCGGCTTGTTAATTTGCCCATGAACAACGACATCCATGATTTGCTCGCTGAATCCTGGTGGATAGCACAAGCAAAATGCGGAATCCACCAATCCCCAATTTACTGGAAGTGTCAGTGAACAAGTCATGGGCACTGCTTTTCAACTAAAATAGGGTGAAGACGTCTGCCTCCCTCCTGGCATCTGTATCCGGAATTCATTGCATCGAATCGACCGGATCGAATTGGACAATCCCCAGTAACCAACTGTTCAAGACGTCGTCCTATTGCCAGGTGTCATGACCAGTCACGACATTCACAGCAGTAGGTCCTAATTCACCTTTCCTTTTTTTGGGCCGTAAGGTATTGTACTAACGGGAGCGCTGGGCCCAGACCTTGCCCTTTCGGCGTCCAGTGGTGAGGCCTCGCGGCATGGGAGTTGGTCGGTACAGTGCGTGGGCCCGCCCTCGGCCTGGCTTTTGCTACACGCTTCTGGGCGGATCTCTGCTCCCACGTAGGTTGCCGAAGGCCGCATTGTCGAACAATCACAGCAAGGGCGCCGACGTCCGCTTTTCCCCTTGGGGCCCCATCCAACGTGCGCTGCCGGTTGCACCGCAGGAGACCTGACCACGGGCAACGGGAGAACCGCGCAGATTGAGCACCAGCAGCTGCTGAACGCCGTAGCGGCTTTTCAAAAGTGGCGGCTGTCGGTGTTGAAAGTGAGCGACGTGCGGAACTCGCTGCCCTGCCGCCTGCCTCACCCTGCTGATGGCACACAGGAGTCAGTTTCTTGATCTGATGCCAGGGAGGCCACGCTTCAACCTCCACCTGTAATTGCGCTCACCAGCTCAGCAAGCGTAGCTGAATATAGCAGCGACTGGTGAAGACAAGTGGAGATGCTGTAATCGCGACAGTAATCATCCGTTAACGGCTTGGTTGGTTTCTTACTATCACAGGCAAAGTTTGCTGGGCATGTGGAGGACTTCGAAAAGGACATTGGATCTCTGGAGGACGAAAACAGAAGCCTCCAGCATGAGATACAACTTGGACTGCATGCGAATGCATGTTTGGAGCAGCAGGTTCAACAATTGCTGGCCGAGAGGCAGACGATGTTGGCGGGAGCGGCTCAGTCGAGGAAGCTGGAAGTTGAGCTGCAAGCCTTGGAGGTAGCCAGAAGGTGGGAAGACCTTGTGCTGTCCTGATGCCACCGCAGTGATGGGGCTGGCATTCCACAGGCGATCAACTGCAATACTGATTGGTGCCAATGGGCAGTTCCACGCTGGTGCGGAATGAAAGCTGTTCGAGTGAGGCATGTGCATATGGAGATCGCTGGAAATGTCCTGTGTGCCCACAAATAGGAGCACACAATGTATCCCCAATTTGTTAGGCATTTCAAAGAGCATTTGACAGGGAACAGGTAGAAAGATCTTGCTTGTGTATGGCTGTTCGATTGCGAATGTGTATCTGCTGCAATGTGACCATGGGGCAGGTGCATGGGAGCTGCACTGTTTGCAGTTAGTGGCATGTGTATGGATAGATGCTTTAGTGGGTGGGAAGCAGAACTTTGTTTCACATGGCAAACATGTGCCCCTGAAGGAGTTTCCAGGGTTCTTTCACTCCAACATAACGCAGAGGTGTTGTGTGCATCACATGTGGCAGTAATGGACCTTCACAATGAGGTGGAATTGCTCCCCACAACTATTGGTGTCATTGGGCACCGAAGAGAAACTCCAATTTGAAATCTCACTGCTGCCAAAATGTTTGGAAGATTTCGAGAACAACGATGCCTGTGGATATGTCCGAAACATCTCGTTGGTTCGATGCAGTTTGCTTGATTGCATTCCAGACACTAGTGCTTGAAATAATCAAGTTTTGGAAGGAGGATCTGGGAAAGTGGGGGAGGTGGTGGTGTGGTTTGTATGGTGCAGGGCTTGCCTTTTTTGTCAGGATGTATCATGGAAACTAGTGCACAGATCGCTGGCATGACTCTATTCTTTGTGCTGGAGCATGTGCTGGAAAATGTACTGACAATGATTTTGTTCACAGCATGATCATGGCAACCATCATAGGTGAACAATTTTGCCAACTTGCTGAACCACTATCATAGATGAACGACTTTTGAATGAAAATTAAGATAATCTATTGCCAAGCAGCTCTCCACAACTTTTTCGCATGTTGTCCATGCATTGGATTGCCAATCTTCCATAGTTGTTCAGGAGTATCCAGACAATGAGGCAACATATGCTGAGGATACTGGTACAAGTGATCAGGTACACCAAGAGCAGGGAGCAGCTGGTTGTCAGCCAGAATTGTCTCTTGTTTCGCTCAGAACCTTGGCTTGTGAATGACTGCCATCCCCAACCATGCAGTTGCACGCCATTTCTTCAAACTAAAACTTGTTTGGCGCTGCTGGAACAAGTGGCTGCTGCTCCACCTGTAGCTGTTGGACTAGATTTCTGAATAGCTGAGCAATGCTCTCTGGAGCCCCAAGGACCATGGCTCGATTTCTTTCTTCCACCTATACCCAAGGGCTGTGTTGTCTGTAGGCAAGCAGAAGCTCGAGCTGTTGCAGCAAAGGATCAGAAAAATGTGGAAGCAAAGGCTTGTTTGGAGGAAGCGAGGAAACAGAAGCAAGAAAGCAACCTGATCAAGGAAGAGATGATGACACTCGTCAGGCAACATGAGAATTTGCTTGGGTGCCTGGAGAAGAGGGACCAGGAAGTGAGTGATGGCCACCTATCCACTGTTAGATGAGGGAGTTAGCCTGCAGGAGACCTGCCTATCATTGGCAGCATCCATTGCACTGAAAGGCAAATGGAGCATCGCAGTGGTGCCTGCAAATGCCTGGCAACACTTGTGCATGGCACAAATGCAGGCGACACCCTCCCTCTTTGCAATATTTGCTTGTTCTGTCATTCATAAGTGGCTGAAGCTGTGTCAAGACACTGCTATAGTAGCATTGGCAGTGCTGTGTGGTGCTGTCTTGGCGAAGAATATGAGGCGTTGGTTGAAGCTGACCAGTGTTTGGATTGGCAGCTTGAAAAGGCCTCCACTGGAAGGCAGGCTTGTGAAGGCACCATAAAGTCAATGGAGGGAAAAGTGAGCGAACTGCAGGCAAAGCTTGAGCAACATGTTGCTGCTGCTGCTGCTGGTCAGAGGATTGCTGCAGCCGCAGAGGCAAAAGCCACCGCGGAAGCAAAGGACTTCAAGCTAAGGGAAAAGGAAATATCTGCTGAGGCAGCAAGGTAGCTAGCAGCACTATGGCAACAGCATGCTGTGCTAAATAGCAATCCACCCCCTAACTTTAACCTTGGCAGAACAGTGCCAGAACTACACAGAGAAACAACAGCCCAGATGTGTGATGTAGTGACAAACACCATTTAACTTACAGCCAAATTGGAAAAACAATGCAACAACAGTTGACAATTAACAGTGGACTTCCTGGTCATGCATAACAGGAGTGCTGAAGCTGCAAAACTTGCTGGAGAGAGGCTGGAGACCTTGCAATTGGAACACAAGTCTCTTCAAGCGAAATGGCGAGTTAGCATTATGGGCTGCTTCATAAAATTCTGTTTGGCTTGTACACTGCATTGGGACATCACGCGTGCATGGTTGGATGTATCTGAATCCAAATTAGTCAGTGCACACAGGTTGAAATTCTCCTTCTGTACTCATCCACTGTGCTGATGAACTTTGAGTAATTGTACTTTGTTCTGATTTTGAAGGGAATCATCAGATTTCATCCTATCCACCATCCATGGTCTTGTGCGTACTGCATTCCAGAGCGCTGTGGGCAGCAATGAGACAGGCAGTGGCAGGGTACGAACAGCAGCACCACAAGTATGGCTCCTGGACGCCTGGCAATTGCCCCTGTCACATATTGCTACAATTACATTGAGCTGGATATTTGTTTAGCTGCATGTGATGAAGGCCTGTGTAACAATATTTGTTCTGTATTTTGGACAGGCATGTATGTTGCTTCTCTGCAGAAACCCTTTTGTGCAAAATTTGTCAGTCCAGGATCTCTACATGAGTCTGTCAATTCGCTGGTTACTCCTGTTTGGGGCGCATTTCGCTTGCTACAACTGACACTGGGTGTGTGCTTGACACTGACTGTACATATGCATCCAGACGGTTCAGTGGCGATTTTCCCTAGAATGGGCAAACTCCACTCATGTTGCAAAGGTCCCTGTGTATGAAAACATGCACCATGATGTACAGAGGAGCCTTTATTTCGTAGGTCTGTGGTGGTACCTTTACATCCTTCATATACAAGCATGCTTGAGGGAATCGGTGGTTAGGGTCAGAAGGAAAACGAGGCCAAATATTGGGTGAAGACAGTTGTGCAAAGGAAGCTGGTTTTGCTCAACAAACGAAGGCCACCAGTTCACAGCTGCTGACAATAGATTCAAAGATTTTGTAAGCTCTGATGTGCATCGAATGGCAACCTGACAGCAGGCTTTCAGTCACGCCCGGCTGTGCTTGCTTGTTGAAAGGAGTGTTGCAAGGGAAGAATATATTGGGTTGCTTTAGAATTGGGTGTGTTGCAGGAACAAAGTGTTGCAGACACCCTGCACTCTCAGGATCCTTTCTTTGACGTTACCATATGCCGCTCATTCCCGTAAGTTCTTTATCCAATGAAAGAGCGACCCAATGATGCAATGTTTGTACATAGGATGACA